TGCCCAAGTAACATAGCAAGTAAGAAGTAAAATGACATCTAGTGGTGAAATCAGGTGATCCTCTGAACATCCTTTAATTTACATATGCTTTATAAAATCTTAGCTAGTGCCTTATTACTTGATTTGACTTAGAAAATGGTTAGTATAGGATTACAGATAAATAAATTTGCCTTTCTGGAATGTAAGCAATAATCAGTGACATAATTTTAAAAATCTGAGTTGAAATAAATCAGATTATGCTGATCAGAAGGACTCATTAATTTCTAAGCAAGATTCATGAAAAAGATCACTATAAAAACAGCGTTTCTGATTTACAGAGTTAATAAAACTCTCTTAGCATCCTTGTAGGGGACAGGAAGAAAGTTTACTTACAAAGAAATAAAAATCAGACTGGCTTTAAACTTTATTATAAATTTAAATGCTAGACATAGGAGAGGGGACATAGAGGACTAAGCAAGATAAAAGCTAAGAGTTTTGTTCTTAGGTTTTATGCACGATACACAAGCTCAAACTTGTAAAGATATAGTAGATATACCACCCAATGCCCTTCTTTAAAAATTGTTTTAGCCACTGAAAGATTGGTGGTGAATATTGGAAGAAGTGAAATTGAGTTATAACTGAATAGTTGTTTATATCATGAAGCAAATACACAAAAAATAACTTTTGAAAATAAATATATAAAATGTATGTGTGTAATCTCAAGTTCTATCAGTCTGACCCTTCCATTAGAGCATTGGATAATAGATGGAGAATAAAGGCCTGATGCTGGCTTTCAGAGCAAATATCTAAATTCTTCTGAAAGCTCACATATTTCTGAATAGATTGAAATAGTGGTTGAAATTCTGTGTTCTTTGTAGGGTTATGAGGGACTACGTTTCAGATTTTTTTCCTATTTTGTTTTTTTCCTCAATTTCTTCTCCCCTGTCAACAAACCAGTGATGTCTGCCAGCAGTCCTTTCCAGTCCCTTGATCTGCTGGTCTCATTCTATCATTATACACTTTGATTTTTATAAATTAGGATTCTAGAGGTTCAAGTTTAATTGTACTGTCATTTTGTACAAAGAGGGGAAGAGATGATCCCCTGGAATCTTTCTTTTTTTTAATATTTATTTATTCATGAAAGACACAGAGAGAGAGGCAGAGACACAGGCAGAGAGAGAAGAAGGCTCCATGCAGGGAGCCCAGCGTGGGACTCGATCCCGGGTCTCCAGGATCATACCCTGGGCTGAAGGCGGCGCTAAACCACCGAGCCCCCCGGGCTGCCCTCCCCTGGGATCTTGAAGCAGTATTAGATATTGTAATATCAGTTGACAGGTGTGAGTTTATAAAAATTTAATGTAATAAAGATGACATGTTGTATCAACGGGGAAAGCAGTCATGCATTCAATAAGTATTGGTGGCAGGTGCATACCTCTGTCACAGCTGTTCAAACTCTCACATTTTAAATATGTGCACTTTATTGTCTAGCAATTGTAGTTCAATAGAACTATAAAAATAGCTCTGAAATTATTAGAGGAAAAATACCTTCCTGGTGCCAGAATATACTTCAGAAAATAATTAAATGTAAAAAGTGAAACTATAAAGCAATTTTAAGAAATTGCACAAAAAATTTAAATAATTTTGTCATGCAGAAGAATTTACCAATAAGCATGAAACCAAGAAGGGGAATGACAAAAAAGGGCTGATAGCTTTTTTCATACATATACATACATATTATTCATAAATAGAACCATATCTCACCAGTCCCTTCTCCCTCAGCCTTCCCCTACATTAGCAGCCCAGTGACCAAGTGCACTGTCTCAAAAATCTTACAGGTATTCTTCAAATATATATATATTTAAACATATATATGTAAACATGTATATAAACATATATTGTATTAATATATATAATATATATGTATATATTAATACACACATATAAACAGGTTTTGCCATTGTTTTGCATGAAATGGAATTAATCTTTTTTGTATGTTTTCTTAATCCACTCTACTTGAGGGGATTCCCTTCATGTCATCAGGTATAGCTCTAATTCCTTCATTTTAATGGTAGTATAGTAGCCAGTTGTTTGTTTCCCAGTTTTTCACAAAGTGTTCAGCCATTTCAAAATAACAGGCATGTACTTTATCTTCAGTTCTTGATCCCTACTAGTTATGCTGTCATTGCCATCTTATACATTATTTGATAGGCATTGGTCCTTTAGTTTCTATGAAATAAATGCATAGTAGTAGAATTGCTCTTCCTAAGAATTAGAGTTTTAAGTATTTTTGTTTATAATTAATGTTCTGAGACTGCCTTCCAAAGAGACTGTATCCTTTGCACATTTCTTTCAGCCATGTGTGAGTACCTCTTTTACAGTGTTCCTGCCAGCTGCCCCTTTTACTTTCTGTATTTTACTTTTTCTTTTTTTTTTTTTAACTTCTTCATTGCTAAAGGTTTCATAGTTGACCAGAGAGGAATTTTCTTCTCAGGTATTTTCTGGGCATGCACACAACCTTGCACGTGTGTGCAACCATATAGTCCTGGAGTATGTTCAGTTTTTCAGGTTTTTTTTTTTTTTTTTTTTAATTCTTGCCCAGACTCTTATATTCACCTGAAACCACAGCCCTCGCAGCTATGATACTGCCATCAGGTTGCTATTTTTTTCTATGACACCCTGGCAGTGTAAGGCCTTTTATCTCTGAGCTGATGTCTGTGTCCAGTGAAATTGCCACAACACCTTGGGAATAGAGGTTTCCAGAAGCTGCAAGTTGGGACAAAATATTGATTGTGGCCTAGGGAAGCTGTTTGTTTGTTTTTTTGTTTGTAAGATTTTATTTATTTATTCATGAGAGACCCACAGAGGCAGAGACATAGGCAGAGGGAGACACAGGCTACCTGTGGGGAGCCTGATGTGGAACTCCATCCCAGGCCCAGGATCACAACCTGAGCCAAAGGCAGACACTCAACCACTGAGCCACCGAGGCGCCCCACAGGAAGCTGGTGTTAACAGAACTGCAAAAAGAAAAAAAAAATCTCAGATCTCTGTTGACTAATACTAATGTATTTTCACATCTGCCTAGACACCTAACTGGGGAATTAGGAGGATGGGCATAACCCTCATCCAAATATCCTGGTCCCCCCATCTTACCAAGTTTCAGTCATTTCCTTTGGGTAGATAATGTTCCACTTGTTTTGTGACTTCAGTTTATTTTCAGAGTTCTCAAGTGGTTAACTTTAGTTGTTTTACTAGTATATCAATTTTTGTGAGAGAGCAAGTTGACTGAGGTCCTTACTTTGTCATTCTGGAAGTCTATTCCTTTCCTAAATTCCTTAGCTATTCATAGTTAGTGAGTCCACCATGTGAGCACTAAGGTTGTTTTCTGCAAATCCAAGAAAAGCTGTTAGAATTCTAATTACATTAAATTTGTGAGTTAATCTTAGAATTGACATTTAGGATTTTAAATCTTCTTAACTTGAAATTTAAGATTGATGAAGACTTGATTATTTAAATTTATATTTCTATGCAGTTTTTTTCCCCAAAATTTTATTTATTCATGAGAGAGAGAGAGAGAGAGAGAGAGAGAGAGAGAGAGAGAGAGGCAGAGACGCAGAGAGAGAAGCAGGCTTCCCTTAAGGAGCCTAGTGTGTGACTCAATTCCGGACCCCAGGATCATGCCCTGAGCCAAAGGCAGGCGCTCAACCGCTGAGCCACCCAGGCATCCCTTCTGTGCAGTAGTTTTAAAAAATTTCTAAGAATTCAATCATAAGTGACTCTAGGAAAGATGTTTGCAACATATGATAGATACTGTATTAATGACCTTTGAATATAAAATTTATTTTTAAATGTAAATGAAATAATATGCGAGATAGGTGAAGGGCATAAGCCATTTTTAAAAGAGGATATATAGATGACCACAAAGTTGAAGAATGGTCAATTAGAGATTAAAACAGTACAGCATCATTAAAATTAAATACCCTTTCCACTTAACAACAATAACAAAAGTAGCATATTTAGGAAGAATGTGTCAAACTATGGTCTTAACACAGCTGATGGAAGTATGAATTGGTACAACCTGTTTGGAATACAATTTGACCCAGATATCCCTTTTCCTAAGAATTAGTCCTAAAGATAAATCATTAATTTATTTACTTATTAAATAGTTACTTAGTACCCACTGATACGTCAAACAATGTATGTCACCAGGGATGACAAACAGAAAGCATATATACACTTAAAAAACTTTGCAGTATGGAGTTTACATTCTTATTGGTGAGGCAGGCAACAAACAATAATATTTAAATAAAAGTTTATTAGAATGAGTGAGGTGTATTATGGTGGGGGAGAACTAGAAGGAAGTATTGGGATAGGGCATGCGTTTGGGATCTCCAGGAATAATGTATTAATGTTAAGAATGATTAATTTTTAAAAATAAAGATATGTTTTATTTTCTTTATATTTTTCTGAGTTTCTATGATGAACATGCAGAAATAGCAAAAATCAAACTTATTTTAAATAATAAAATTCTTTGTATGAGTTTCTGACATTTTATAGAGGTTGGTTTATCAGTCTTTTTGTACATTACAATGGGTAGGTTTTACTTTAGGAGAATAAATATAAATGAAGTTATTAACTTAGGGTTTAATTTTGCAAACTATCACACTTGGGTGAAAAGTATTTAGATTTGTTTTTCTCAAATCTAGCTATTTTAAAACTTCATTTAGAACACTGAAATGAATGCTTATCTGCAGTTAAGAACATTCGGAAGGCTGTCAGTTTCTTTTACAAGAATTTTGTCACATAAAGATCATTACTATTACTCATTTACTTTTCAGCACTGAATTTCAAACAGATTTACTTATTTTCAATATTTTGTTATGAAATACTTCTTTCAAAATCATTTTAAAATGTTTCATGGTGGATTTTATTATATTTTACTTTCATTTTTTATATAAACTATCAATGTGAGAATTTAGAGTAACTTAGAATTTTAGAATTTAATGCAGGAAAATATATTTTAGGAAAACAATTAAAGGATGGGAAGAAGCCAGAACCATGCAAACCTATCCTCAAGGTGGAGTTCAAAACGACTAGATCTGGGTAAGATTTTACTTCATTGCCAATATTCATTGCATATAATTACTCAAATAGCACTGAAGGCAATTTTGTCACTATGTTGTAAAGTCTACTTTAGAATGGTCTAGCCCAGTCTTAAATTTTATGCATTCTTTATTTAATGAAATAACTAAAAGTGGTAAATTAAAGGATTTCTTTGTATTCTCTGTCTTTAATAGTTTTATAATGTATCTTGGAAGGTTCGAATAATCTTTCTTGTCAAATGTTATACATTCTGTTAGATTAGTCTTCAGTAACAGTGGTGTTTATTCACTACTGTAAATTGTGGGATAAGTGGTGAAAAAAGTTTTTAAAACAAACCATTTATGTTAGGGGTGTTAATTATGAAAGTCAGATGTATTCTTCAAAAATTAAATCTCATAAGAATATTTGGCAATTATAAAAATATATACATCTTAATATTGAAGTTTATCAGTTATATTTTATATTTTTTATATGTACCAAATATTTAAAAATATAACAAAGGAAAAATTGTAAATGTTTTTTGAAAATGCCACGTTTCATTAACCCCTAAAAGAAGCATTTTATCTGTGCTCTGGTTCTCTGGGAAAACTGTGTGGTTTTATTTACTATAGCTGTGTAAGAGAGTGAACTTATGTAGTATAGATAGTGCATTGGTTCTTGGATTGTGGTCCTTGGGCCAGCAGCATTAACTAAGAACTTACTAGAAATGCAAATTCTTGGACTCCACCCGGGACCTTCTGAATCAAACACTGTGTGGCTAGAGCCAACCACTCTGTGTTTTACTTAGATCCACAGGAGTTTCTGATACATGGAAGTTTAGAACCACTGATAACATGTTTTTTATATCAGTTGATGACCACTGGTTGTTATAACTGGCCCACTTCCCTTTTAAATTTGCCCTTGTTCTAAACATATTCATTTCAGCTGTATTCTCATTTGAGAAAAGACAGTAGGTTGAAGAATCATTAAGATTGCTATTATTTGTCCTTGATTCTCATTAGCCTTCTGGGATTCAAAAGATATACTGTTCAGACAAGCAGTTGAATGAACTTCAAAAGGAATGGCATCTGTTTAATTGATTGTGGCTCCTTCACTCTGTAACCTTTGGCATAGAGTTATTTGAGGTCTTTGTGCTTCACTTTCCTCAGTTATGGCATGAATATGAGAATAGGTTAGAAGGTTGCTGTGATGATTTAAGTGAAACAGTCATGTATTGAAAACATTTTACAGAGTGCCTGGTACATAATAAACTTTCTATACATAGTTCCTCTTACTGTTTCCAGGAAACTTCCTACCAATTGATTTTTCTTTTGCCATAATTTTTGTTGCATGGCAAAGGAATGTAAGTAGGAAAAGTAATAATAGCAAAAAAAAAAAAAAAAAGGCTTTGGGGGAAACTGGAAAAAAACCTTGTGTTTCTGGTTTATAATACAGCATCAAAGGAATTGTCCAAACATTTAAATTAACAGTGTTTACTGTCTTCTGAATTACCAGTTCATTTTAACAAATACTGATTGGCAACAACGGTGGAGGTCCAGGGAAGATCTTTTTTTTCCTCTCTCTCTCTCTCTGTTCCTGTTTTTAATTCTTATGAATGGTAACATTTATGTTTTCAGTTTCTTCAGGATGGTGGCAATATTTTTTCTTTCATAACATCAGACATGAGAAAAAAAAAGTCTAGCTCTTTTGCATGCGTTTGTAGATACCTTTAAATAGATCGATAGGATCACTATCTGAGAACAATTTTCACTGCTTTCCAATTTTTTTCCTTTTTTTTTTTTTTTTACCTGGGAGAGGAAATTCAGTAAATTAAAAGGTTCTCTTTTTCACCATGGTCTCTCTTTCCTTGAGATAGTTCCCTAGAATTCCAGTGTGTAGCCAACCTTGAGAACTGCAACCCCCATTCTGCCTATAATGAAATCACTTTCAGTTAGAGAAGCTAGTCAGTTGTCACCTTTTCCTGTTTCTAGCAAGTGTCATGGGCAGGTGCCAACTAAAGGGATTCAGGTTGGTAATAGGTAACGTTGGCAAACTGCCAGATTTTATTATATGAGCCTGCCTTCCCTCCTCAAGATCTTCTGCATTTTCTTTTTTTTACCTAGAAATTATTCTAGGCAGAGACTCCCTTTCATCCTTTATAGCTTAGCAATAATATCATAGCTTTGAGGATATTTTGGCCATGTTTTCTAGATTGGGTCCCCAGTAATATAGTCTCAAAGCATGTTATATATTTCCCTTCTAGAATATGTACTTGTCATTAATAATGAAATTGTTTGTTGATTGCGTGCCTTCCCCTTTAGATACTAGCTCAGTGAAAGCATGAGACATACCTGTCTCATTTCTAATTGTCCTAGCATAGTGTTACTTAATATATGGGAAACAGGCTGGTGTTTAGAAAAGTGCAGCCATGAAGAATTAGCAGTTATAGGTTAATAATAACAGAAAATTTAACTCTGATGGAAAGGTACACGGACAAAAATATGGAATCAAGATATTGTGCCTAACTTTTATTTTCTAGTAACATAAAAGCATATATTACACTGAGAGAGACCAGATTTTCCCCTTATATAGTGAACAATGACAGTATAATTAACATAGCATTTAAATAGCACTTTAATTAAAGATAGGGGACTATTCTTTATATGGCCAGTTTTTAATAAAAAGTCAAAAGTTAAATGTTAAGTCAATTCTGTTGAAGTTGTTTTTTTGAAAAAATTCGTGTGACCCAGGTGTGAAGTGCTCCAACGAATGGTGGTTGAGAAAATGATTAAGAGTGAACCCCTCCCCCCCCCAAAAAAAAGAGAGTGAACTCCAGAGCCAGCCAATCTGGGGCTAATCCCTCCTCAACTGCCTGCTCGTTGTGCCATCTTGGACAAATCAGCAAGCTTTCTGTGCTTGTTTCTACCTTAGAGATTGTTATGAAGATTAAGCAAATATAAGAAGCACTTGGAACATACTCTTTCTTCCATTTTTCTCACATATCACTTGTCTCAAAACAGCATTTAATAACCCCTGACAAATATCTTAAATGCAGTTATTCTCTGATTTTCCTTTCACAGAGCAGATGTACAAAGTCCAATGTTGACGAAATTATAATAACTATGGAGCTTCACTAATATTCTTCCCTGGATTGAGAGTTCTCTTATTCTGAGAAACATTATGATTTAGTGCAGTATTTATTTGACACACGTTACATTAATTTTGGTTGTACAACGTAGTGATTCAACAACTCTTTGCTTTATGCTGTGCTCACCTCAAGTGTAGCTACCATCTGTCACTATACAGTGCTATCACAGTACCAATGACTGTAGTCCACATGCAGTACCTTTCATCCCTGTGCCTTACTCATTCCATAACTGGAAACCTGTATTGCCCACTCCCCTTTGCTCATTTTGCCTATTCCCTCACCCTCTGATTTTTTTTGTTTTTAGATATTAAATGTGATCTATAAATGAGTTTTGAAAATACTTTTGTTGGTTGTGACATCAATTTTTAACATACAGACTAAGAAAGAGTGTACTGCACATTTTAAGGTTAGGTACTGGTTTATGAAACTTGTTCATTTGTATGTACTTACATTTCTGTATACCGTACCATGAAATAAATATACTTCTTACTATGAGTCATGATCATCATATTTGAGAGCCCCCAATTTAGTGGAAATAACTGAGGCTTTGGATTTTTAGACTTAGGTTCAAATCCCATTCTGCCACTCAGACAACTGTGTTGTCTTTGGCAAATTGCATAACATCATTGAAAATCTGTCCTTACCTTAGTGAAATAGGGGTAGCAGTTACCACTTAATAAAATAGTTGTATAGACCTGAAAGAAAAATATAACGTGTCTAGCACATGGTAGATGTTTGGTAAATTGTAGTTCCTTCTTTCCTCCACTGCTACATTTTTCATTTTGCTATTAGACTGAATAAGAAGTTACAGGCAGGGTCAAATTTTCAGCAAGAATCAACTTGGGATAGAGTCATGTTTTCAAACAGGTATTCATTTGAACTCCTTAGAGTTTTACACTACAGAGCACTGGAAGTTAGTATCTTTTTTTGTTTTTATTTAGAGATTTTATTCATTTGAGAGAAAGAGAACACATGAGTAGGGGAAGAGGCAGAGGGAAAGGGAGAGACCTCAAGCAGACCCTATGCTGAGCCAGTCTTGATCCCATAACCTTGAGATCATGATCTGAGCCAAAAACAGAAGCAAGACACTCAACTGACTGAGCCACCCAGGCACCTTGTAAGGTAGCATCTTTTAAGAAATGGACTACCATTCAAGAAATTACCGATTTGCGGGAGCATCTCTGGGAACCTAAAAGTGACTATTATCACAATTAAAAATGGCAGTGTAGTCACATTTGGGAACTATGTCTAAGATTAATTTATTCCCTTTTCTTCTTCTACTTTTTTTTTTAAGATTTCATTTATTTATTCATGAGAGACACACACACACAGAGAGAGGCAGAGGGAGAAGTGGGGCACCATATTGGGGGCCTGATGTGGGACTTGATCCCAGGACCCTGAGATCCTGACCTGAGCCAAAGGCAGACACTCAACCACTGAGCCACCCAGGTGCCCCTACTCCTTTTCCTTATAACACATACTATGACAAACCATTTGTGTATAGGCCCAGAAAGTAAATATTTCAGGCTTTGCAAGCAGTATAGATTTTAATTGGCAGCTACCCAACTCTGCTATTATTACCCAAAAGCAGCCATAGACAACTCATAAATGAAAAAAATGCAGCTGTGTTCTAATAAAACTTTATTTATAGACACTGAAATTTGAATATCCTTTAATTTCCTGTATCATGAAATATTTTGTGTATTTTTTTCCAACTGTTTAAAAATGTAAAAGTCATTTTTAGTTTTCAGGCCATACAGGCAAAAATAGGAAGTGGGCCATAGTTTGCTGATCCCCCTCGATAAGCACACATGTACATGAACATAATAATATATTTAAGTTTATCTGTGAGCAAAAGTTGCTCTCTGCCCCC